GTCACATTGGATCTTTCAATTTAAGCTACGAGTTATTTTAAGAGAAATTTAAAAATTTGAACACCATATAAGGATCCGCTATTTTGAATACCGAAAAAGGCGTTCTGGATTCGCAATTAGCGACTGCAAAAATTCTGGTTCAGTGAGTTCCAAGTGCATCCGAAGCTTTTTCATTGAGAAAACAATGCTTTGAAAAAACGGCTCACACCATTTGGTTTACCTGTGGTGGAATTCAGTTACTTTTATCGACACCGTTTGTTGGAAATCAAATTAACGAATTTTATCGATTGCCTTAATTCGCTCATTCATTTTAAACGATAATCGACAACAGATAATTCCTTTTAAAAAATGGAAGAAAGGTGGCTTCACAGCTTAACCAAACGTTAAAATATGCGATAAGCATAAAGAGGAATGACAAAAAGTTTATCAAATCAAAGACATGTTATGGCTTCCACTTTCAAAACTACTCTGCATGACTCTTCGCTCTGTAGAGGAGCTCCAAATAAAGGAATCGTGGCGCGCTCCTGGGTACTTAGCATTTACTTGAGACAGGGATCATCTACATACAAATGAGCTGTGTAAATATAACAACAATTAAAAAAATGTAATCTTTCCACTTGCGCATTGATAGAATGGTATCCATGGTGGCTGACACACAAGTAGGCTTGTTCATGATTTCTGGGGCTTATGATGGACACATGAGTGCCGCAATAGTGCTTCCAGCAACTGTGGAGGGAAATCTAACATTCGCATCTGTTACAATGGCTTACGGAAGACTGACTCATAGATATTCCGCTCGAATGAGCCGTTAATAGCATTTAGTTGCGAAGAATCGCCAGGAGGTTAAAACCTTTAAGCATTTCAATAGCGTGAAAACTGCAAAAACACTTAAAATTACATTGTTACCTGTTTTTCTGTAGATATTGCTATTCTTCTACATTTAGTTGACTATCAAGAAGCTCAGTTAGGAAAGGATGTTCCACTTTACGAGGCAAACGTCTATCTTGCCAAATAATCCGTTTTTGTTTATTATTTTCCTTCCATTTTGTACATCTTCTCCTTCCTTACTGGCGTGGACACCGCTTACGCGATTATAGCCGGATTACTATACTGTCTGAAACTGGCATATTTTTTTCTTTACGAAATTACAAAAAAGAGAGTTCGAAGCAAGAACCGAAGTTGTTGCAAGAAAATGCTTAGATTCAAACATATCGCTTATTTCATTATTCGTTGGTATAAGTATATTTCAATTATTGTAATTCGGTCAGATAAATTTGTATGCGGTAAATCATACGTCATCCAAACATGGAGTTTTTTGAATAGCCAGACTTTTTTATATGATTTCAAACTATCAGCGCAGTGATGTCTATAGTCGGTCTTGTTCCAAAACTATATGGCCCAGTTGAACACTTTTTGTAGCCGAACTCATATTAGAATATGCATTTCCTTACATTTTTTTTAAATAGTTACCGACCCTCCCTACACACCTATATGAACATATGATACACTTGGGGGCTTGACGTTCCCTGCCACAGTGAAGCTATCAAAAATATATTACTTTTGGAACTTCGAAAAAGTTACTTTTGGCCTTTTGGTGACCTCGCGAACCACAGAGCGCCAGCCGCAGAATTTCATCATATTTCGGGCATTTCCACAGTTTCGCACGGCAGCATTTTCAAATCGAAATAAGTTGTCTTCACAAAAAATATTGCACAAAAAAACAGCTTTTAACAATAAATTTATTTTGAGTGTTACAAATTGGCTCGAATATTAAATATATTTATTTTTTTATTTATTTTTATTACAATGGATATTACCATCAATTTTTTTTGTAAATATTAATGTTTATTTATTCAATCATCTTTGACATCGGAAGTTTAACAATAAGTAATAAAAGAGGAAGAGGAATAATTACACTTGTACCATGGTGCGCTCATTATTACTTTTAACGTTTTCGATTGGAACCTCTGATTTATATCTATATTTGTCACGCAAGTTGCGCCCCATAACTGGATTCCATATATCCATATCGGTTTTATTGTTGCATTATATAAGAGGACTTTGTTGCTAAGGCAAAGTCCAGACTTCTTGTTCAAAAGCCAATGTAAACTGGCAGATTTGAGTTTAAGCTGCAGCTTTTTAGAAGCAATGTGTCGTCTCCTGGTTAAGCGCCTGTCCAAGTGGATTCCGAGGTATGTAATTTCGTCAGCTTGAGGTATCGACACATTGTTGAGCTTAAGAGTAGGGCACGTTTTTGGTCTTAGTGTGAAAGTGATGTGTTAGCACCTGTTTTCATTAACTTTTCTGCGCCATTTCGCTTTTGCTATTCTTCAATAAGTTTAAGGTGCTGCTGTAATACTTTTGTGGCTGCAATGGGGAATTTATGTCGTCTTAGCATAGCAGTATAATCCGCAAATGTTGACGTAATTCATCGTCACTTGTAGAAATATCTGTGGTGAAAAAATATACGATATTGGTGCAAGAACACTACCCTGCGGAGCACCTGCCGTAATTGGATACCCTTCTGTTATGTAAACATTTACTTTTACATTAAATCGCCTGTTGATTAAATAGGATTCAAGGACATTGTGGAGAGTGTTAGGTAATGATTTTTTAATTTTATGGATGAGACCATCATACAACACTTTGTCAAATGCCGAGAAAAACGGCCGAGCAATCGTCTCTGATTCGAAAGCCTTATTTCATTTGTTATACGATTTACTTGTTTAGTTATGCCATGTTTTTCCAGAAAACCAAATTGATGTGTAGGAATAATATCATTTTGATGGAGAAAAGGAGTAAATTTTGATATCAGCACTTTTTCGAGTTTGGATAGGCAAGGCAACAGGCTGATTGGTCTATATAATGAGGGCAGGGTTGTGTCTTTGCCTGGTTTCGCTATCATACTTACCTGCCATATTTGTGGATAATATCCTAACATTAAAATGGTATTGAAGAGCTTTGCAAGAAAAACGAGAGCAATCTTTGGCAATTCTTTTTAAGGCGGTAAAAAAGTTTTTTACTTCAATGACAAAGGTGCATTATTTGTAGCAGTATTTGCTTTGAAAAACTGTACTGAGATGCTTTGCAATACAAGGCGCATTTTTTCGCCCTCTCGTCTCATGAACCGTTAAGCTTGCTTCAGTGCTCTAAGGTGGCTTAAGGTTTTTGCTAGCTTTCCATAGGGATTTTTTTGTAGAAACGTTATAAGATTTTTAATTTTTCTTTCTTCTTCATAACGTAATACCTTTTTTAGTTTGTTTTCCGCAATCTTAACACGAATTTTCGCCTCGGGAGATCGGTAGGTTTTACATTCGCGACGCAAGCGTCGCTTATTTCGGACAAATTACTCTGTTCCCCTATTCATGTTCTGGTTTTTACTTTTCTTTTTTGCTCTGATGTAGCTATAGTTGCTGCTGTTGCTAGTACACTGTAACTCATTTTAATATCAGTTCCTCTCTCTATTTGCGGATTGGTATGTGTATGACATACAATACATTAGCATTTTTTATATTTAAGCCAGTTAGTTCTTGATGTAGTAAGTCGAAAAGCTTGCCCACTTTTAACTGCTTGTTTTTTTCAATTTAATGATTATTGAGGAATGATCAGAAGATAAATCAGAAGATACGAAACTCCTATCTACGTGTTTAGTGACTGCAAAGTCAATTAGGTCAGTAAGTTAGTTGTCTTGGGGTGATAAAATCGTATCTATTTTTGGTACTTATGATCGTATTATACAACTGGCGACCTTTCGGGTTAATTAGCCTCAGTTCCCAAGTCAAACGAGTATGATTCGCATTGTAATCGCCTCCAGCTCATGAAAAAAACGTTAAATTGTAATTCCGTTATTACGAAACATGGCGGACAGATCATGGTCTCAACTCCAGTACTGGAAGGAGTGAATGGTGGAGCTTGTTCATTGGCTTTTACTACGTTGGCATAGATCATTTGATCAGTATTTGAGCTGGGTAGATTGCAAGGGCTCGGAAGTTGGTTCAGTTTGGCTTGTATACCCTGAACAAGTTTAGATTTTAAATCTTTGTAAACCGGACAACCTCTATAATTAGCGGTGTGATTGTCATCGCAGTTGTTACAGGTTCCAGCACTTTATTCCTGTTAATTATGTTAACGCCCGCCCTAATTTCAAATCCTTGATCTTCTAAAGCTTCTTTCATATCACCTGAGTCATACCTTTAATTGCAACAATCAGGCCTTTCGCACTCTTCAACTGGTAAGAGTAATAACACTTGTTGTTCGCAGAAAGAAACACAATGACTTCTCGAAAATCTTTTTCACTGTGTACTTGTAATTTTGTCTCGTATATGTTTCCTTTTTAAAGAGGTATAATGTGAAATTTGTTGGTGCCTACCAGCTTGGCTATGTTTCTTACGAGTAAATTAGAGCTGCGCTCCCGCAAGTGGATTGGTGGCGGTTTAGTATTGGTGACTGTGGAAATACCCATTGGGTCTGTAATAGGCTCTTCCTCATTTAACGGCGCAAATCTGTTCTGTTTTAGTGCATTACCATCAGCATCGATAGTGGAGCCAACGGTATTGTGCTTCTTAGCATTAATCACTTTTTTGGGAGGACTAGATTTCCTCTTTTTGTTTATGACACTTATGTAGCGATCAATGCCTGTCTGCACCTCCGACCCTTTTTCTTTTTTGCTACCTCACCCTCACTGGAGTTGCTGCTGCTGCTGCGCTGATTGGCTGCATAGCTGTTCCTGTTTCCGCTGTTGCTGGTTCCACTATTGCTGGAGATGCAGTGAAAAGAGATATTTTGCTCTTTGTGTTCTATGTTGCTGCTGAGGAGCAGGTCTGCGTTGGCGTCTTTAGAGACGAACTGTTTGCCTTTGCATTGCTGAATTTTAAGCGAATAATTTTAAATGCTAATTTTTCACTCATTTCATTCATTCAGTTTGATTAAAACAATTTAATTTCGTATTCATTTTAAATTTAAAAATTTACTGATTTAATATCCTTTTTTTATTGTTACAGATCCAAGATTGGCAAAATTATGACATGGCGAATTAAATTGCTTATTCTTGATTAAATGTTAATTAATTTCACTACATGGAAGTATTGAACTTGTAGAAAATTATCGGAAAAGAAATAACAGCAAATTACTTAAAGGCCTCACGGCATCATTCGTCGACTTTTCCATTAGCGGCGAGTTGTCGCTGGAGCAACTTTTCCACCTGTCAACGTTGCTTGACGTAAACGGAAATAGAAGCACGCCATAAATAAGCTAACTTTCTTCATATTTATACTATATTATATGTGTAACAAAGGACACATCTTGTGAAGTCATTTCAGTAAGACTCAACTAACCGCACCATTAGTGCTCAGTGAGGCGCGACTTCACCGCTTGTCGAGGGGTCAAAGATGGAGGGACCGGGGAGGTCCGCTTGTTGATAGATACGTAGATATGTAATTGTGAGTAAACAGTAACCGAAAACAATATTATGATATAAATATAGGCGAAACTAGTATATAGAATTAAAAAATATGCATATGTAGGTACATATTTACATACGAGTATATATTATGTAATGTTATGGAGCCCAAAGCTATAAACTAGAGCGCCGTATATTCAAGGATTGCATTAACATGGCTACAAATGTATTTATGTATGTTTGTATGCACGCTTAATCCAAAGCGGTGCCGCACAATGCTGGATCCAGATGAAATAGCTCAATGAAGTGAAGAAACCACAAATGACTGCACAAAGTAGTCAAAACAAATTAAGAACATTTAATTAAAAATTCCCCAGCCGAATAACGGCATAAAAGTAGAACGAAAGAAAGAAAGAAAATGTCTATGTTAGTACCATGAATCAGTCGATATACGTAAACGACGTAAAAAATAAACGATTGCTTTCATCTGATATAATATACAAAATCACCATTTATTAAGCCCAAGTCCACAAAACCAACACATCTGTGCTCCTACTAATGCACAGACACACTCACGTCTTGTAAGTGTATGGGTTAGCAATCTGTGTCATATCCTACAGTACGACTACTCCCTCGGTCCAGCATCGCACTGAGCATTCTACTGAGCATCCTTGTGCTTAATTTTCAAACGCTACTCAAAATGGGTAGCTTACCGAATTTGCACGAATTGGAAGAGATAGAGCGCCGACGTGAGAAACGTCGAGAGCGCGAACAGCGTGAGCAAATGCGAGAGCAACGAGCACGTGATTCTAGTCGAGAGCGAGAGCGTATGGCGTTATTTGCGCAGCGAAAGGTAAGTTAATAATAATTATTGCACTTTTTGTTTTGGAAATGAAAATACTTAACCAAATAATTTATTACCCTACAATTGAATTTTTAAACAAAGAAAACAAGTTATTCATTAGAACTCTTCTATATTTCATACTTTCGCGTAGAATATCCTTCTATCAAAAAGAAGAATATTTTAGAAGCTTCGGAGTGTACTCCGACCTCCATCTTGCAGTCCATTTGGACCCTTTGGTGTAGACTGAAGCGATATCCCCTCACTGAAACCTTGGGAGTAAGTAGTCTGACTTACTTAAAGTTTTATGATGATCGCGTCTCCGAGAGCGCTGCCGCTGCACTCTCTATGCCTTATATCGATTAACCCTGCAGATATTTAAAGCCAATGACATGGCATTATGTAATGAATCGATTATTAATTGGAACACTTTGAGCAAACCTTGAGATATCGAATAAGTTATTAGCTTACTGCCTATAGCTCAGGTCTCACCAACACTGGGCATACTAAAAAGTTGCCATGATGAAGTTCAACTCATTCCGCAACTAACACATTTTTATTGTCCTCCGACGCGGTTGATATTCCTTACTTTTGTTTCGCTCAAAAGTCTCTTCAAAATAATTAGGTCTCTCTTTGAGTATTTCTTGACATCGTTGCTCTCTTTCTCACATTTTACAAGTAAACAAAAATACATTAGTTTGAATGTTCGTTTACACTTACTATCCTTTCTAATCCTTTTGGACAGCAAAATTCCTACAACGCCTACTTAATGGCTGGCTTGGGTATGGGTGGCGGAACACTTGGCATGGCCGCTGCCGTCGGTGCATCCCACTTAACGGGAACTGCTGCAGCAACTGGTGTTCTCGGTGTTGGCGCCAACACAGCAGCTACAACAGCTACGACCACTTTAAGCGGCTTTGCAGTGGGTGGTGCAGCGTTACTCGGTCTGGGTACTCCCGCATTACTAACGAAACATCATCATCAACACCACCAACATCATCGACATTCGCTGACGACACGACATCGAGTGCTACGTACAAGAAGTTCTGGTGCGACACATAATATTTGGGACGAGCAATTGATGGAGGTGAGTTGATTTAGGGATTGAGTATCAAGAGAGTTGCAGTAGTTGTATCGTAAGTGGGAACTGCGTTAATTTACACTGCTCTGTATGAAAGATACAAATAATGGTGAAAATAGTTGTGTGTGTGTGGGTGTATGTGTGTGTGTGTGTGTGTGCGGGTGTGGGTGTGCAAGAATCATTTGACAATGAGAGCCATTGTTTTCGATTTGCCTAGGTCCTTGTGTCGCTTTTGTCGACGTCTCAACAGCAAAGCACAGCTGAAGACTGCGTTACCGGGGCAATAACGAGTTCGCCGATGATATGACGATAATTGTATGAAAATAAGAGCATTACTCAATTAATAAGATTATGGTTTTGACCTTGAAATGTAATTATCCTTCCAGGAATTTAATGACTGCTGCCGGTAAAGTAAACGTCAGATGCCATTATGTTCCCAAATAAAAGGGTCAAACTGACAAACTGATTCATTTAATGTGCAATGAAAATAGTAATTACCTTATGTACTGCATATATGTATGTATAACATTAAATTCACCTCAAACTGTCATAATTAGTAAAATATTAAGTATAATTAGAATATTTGAGAATTCAATCAAGAAGAAATCTTCAATAAAGCGAACGGATCCTACTTAAGTAGTGTTAAATGCCAAAAACTGATTTATATTAAAAACTGTCCAAAGTAAACACGTTTAGGACTATTTCTCTTGGTGCCAACTAAAACCATTCAACTTGGGGAATAGTACAACTGTTCTCTAATCCAGGATTGTCACAACCATCTATCGTCGTCATTAAGTTTGGTGAATTACTTGACACCCTTTGTATCACGTCAATAAGCAATTTAAACAGCATCGAGCTTTCTCTGACAGGGAAGTCAATATGGCGATACCGCCAGTGGTGAGCCACCATTAACGGACTAAATGAAAAGAATATCTAGGGTCCTGCAGCTACCCTTCTAGTCGAATCAACTCAACTTTGTTCATCACCGCTCGTTTTTAATAATGTAAAATATTAATACACTTTTTTACTCTAGCACGTGGGATAAAACTGTTCCTTCTTTGTGCAACCACCTAACTTCCATGTGCGATTCATATTTGGACTCGATAAACGCATATAAGTAATTGCCCTAAATGCTTTGCCGGTAATATCAGTTGATTTTTAAATTTGTAGAGCGAAATTTGAGACTGCAAAAGTTTCTACGGTAGTTTTTTTCAATATTCTGACAGATCTACAATGAGTTGTGTCAATTTCATGAGATTAAATGGTATCTTCAGCCAAACTATGAAATTTTAATTTAAGAGCAATTGCCCCTTCATAGGAGAATACCTGATAATGGCTCTTCCAAATTCACTAAATTTCTTTCAAAAATATTTACTTTTTTGAATTTCACCGATTACAGTTCCCGATAATAGTTTTTGTCCTTTGTTAACTGGAGGGATTGTGAGCATTCCAAAAACATTGAGGTTTGTTTGGTGCTGTAGCACTGTTTGACAAAATTGCCACCACCACATACCATGCATTCGCGAAGAGCTTGTTCGTTCCCCTTTGTAGATGTAAGCCTAAATTTTCAGAAATCGTCATTATTCTTGTAATGGGCCCGCTCTCTTTAGTGCGACCTCTAGTGCTATTATTATCATTGTCAAGTTTCTTCTTTTATTCATTTATACTAAATGGTTTCCAAGTTCTCTACTCGTAAATTGAATGTTCGTTATCATATATCATTCTCCAAAGTCTTGTCCGCCATTTGGCAACACAATTCAAACATTTGTGATTCACTCGTCTAACCCGACGAACCTAAGGAAATTCTTAAAATCTATTGGCTCCAAAGACGCTGCCCACATGGGAACTTTAAAAATAGCCAATCACACAGTATTATTATGGGGCATTGCAGACTCCTTATTATAGCCGGGCTGAAGATGTGGAACATAAATTATCTGAGTAGGTGAGAGTAATCAACAGAATGTCGAGGCCATAATTCCAAGCACAGGAAAATTAAACAATGGTTTCTAGGCAGAGCATACCTAGAAGCTAATAATACACTTAATCAGCTCTCCTAAGCGGTATAACTCTCGTTGAGCTGCTTATTCCATGACCTCTTGCATTTATGAAATTTTCATAAAAATATTTACATTTATCTTTCTTCTCTTCTTGCAGCATCTCGCCGCCTACTCACCGATTTCAACACGATCGCATCGTATAAATCCCGTATCATCATATCAGGTGCAAGCGGCACTGGCTGCATCCCGACGTCGTGAGTCAATCAACAGTTCCATAGGTGCTGCATCGATAAGACGCCTTATTACGCTTAATAACCGCAACTGCCGACATAAGATACCGCCGCACGTACGCCATAAGGTGTGTCAGAATTTCATCTGCATCGCGGTAGCGCACGGTCTAATTTGCGGTGTACTATTGCCACTCTTCGCCTTACAGGGTTCCAATTCGGTGTGGCATCAACGCGAACAGTGGCTACACGTGGGACCGAATATCGGTTCGTTATTATTGAGCGGTTGCTTTCTCATCTCAGCCATAATGTGCCTATTTGCCAAACGCCTTATACAGAAATTCGGCTACACTTCGGTGATAGGTGCCAGTTACGTGGCGACGAGTGTCTTTCTCTTATGCCATCTGTTTCCATCCATCTTTACGCTATTGCCAGCATACATACTGCTCGGTGTCACCTATAGTCCTTCGTGGATAAGCAAAATTTCATTGGTGGTGCATTTTGGCAGCAAACTGAGTTGTTCGCAGCACGAGTGTTTATTGAGCTCATCGCATACCTCGGACGTAATGGACGAACATAAACTCTTCTGCAACCGGGATCAAAAGGCGCGACGTTTGGCGCGTTGGTTTCAGGTGGCGCAGGATTTAGGTATCATTTTAGGTGCACTTTTAGCATCATTTACATTGGCCTGTAGCTCCAGCGATTGGAATTGCTTTGAAGGCGATACTGTGCCGACTGCAGAAATGCAAACAACTTCATTGCCCGGTGGCGAAAATTTTACTGAACCAGTTGTAAAGGCAGTGGCGCTGCGTTCGCACTCGTACAGCATGACCGGCTTTTTGCCTAATATACCGGGTTACTTTGATGATTTCTATTATCACAACGAACATGGCGAAAGAATATGTGGTGCTGACATGTGCCCCGTTTGGTATCAAGACAACAGTTTCGATGACTTAAGCAATGGCACCAATGAGACCATCTACACGCAATTCATCAATGAAAGATCAACTGGCGGTGGGATTACACTGATATGTCTTTATTTTCTGTTTACGCTCGCAGCGACGGGTTTATCTGTCTTTAGCGGTAAGATACAAGGAACTTTTCGGCGTGAGGCACATGTAAGGGGCATAACGGATACTTTACTATTTGCTGGACCGATGGCGTATTTCGTTGGTACCGAGCAAGCCTACATGCTGGGTGACTTTTTACGGGTATGAAGGAATATTAAATAAAAGCGCTCGCGTAAAAATTGCATTTATATTTATTTTTAATACTATTTTCAGGCTTTCGTCTCCTGTTCTTTGGGCATCAGCATGGTTGCCGGCGCGTTAGTTGGCATGGGCATCATGCAATGCATAGTTTCCTGTACGCTAAGTATGCTACTCAGACACACTAAGCGCATCGTGGTCATATGTAAGTTAATCTACTTATTTATATTCCCCTAAGGTAAATAGTGAGATTTTGTGGAATCAAGTCTTCCTATGATTAGAAAATTCACCTCGTTATTTACAGCTCGGCAAATTACTCATAACACTGTTATACAGCTGATATTAATATAAATTTTAACAGTGTTAATCATATAAGTCGTAGAAATATATATAAAATATATAACACAGTCTGAGAGCCCACGACAGCCAGATGTATGACACTTTAGAAGAATTCGGGGCAGTGGTTACTTTGGCAGATGACGGGGGGGGACAATGCAAAATACAGCATATCAAATGTATTAAAGTAAAAAAGTTAACTTTTAATATTTTATTTACGTGTAAACCCTCTCCTGGACACCTCCAAACTCTGATAATTTGTAATTGTACTAACGTTATATTAATAGACTTTTTATTTTATTTATAGATTTGCAATTTTGTTAAATATTTTTTTACTTGTCTTTTTTGTAATAAATAAGCTTAGCTGAAGTAGAACTTTTCATAGTTTCGGCATGTTTGGCAGGAAGTTTTAACCATAAAAAGTGTTCGCCAATGAATGAGGTCATTTTAGAAATTGTTTCGAAGAAAATATCGAAAACTGACCTTTATGCTTTATTCTCTAATTTTTTCTAACTTGAGTGACAAAAGGAAAATGTGCCGGACAAAGAAGACTAAATTATACGTTATTTGACAGAAGCCTTCAAAATTTGAGAGCCACTGTGAGTTTGTCAGAACTGCAGATTATCTAATAAATACCGGTGTGCCTTTATGCCCAGTCGTATATAGATATAAGCACAAACGGAAAAAGAACTATTCTACAGCTATATGTAAAGGCGTTTTCGCGCATTATTCAATAATTATTAATTTAATTAAGGGCAGCTGATTTTACTGATTTTTTATATTCTTGGATTCCATTGTGAAAGGTAAAATCTTGTTTTTACTTTTTTTTCAATAAATGTTAGCTCTTCGTCTAGCTCCTTTTTTATTTATTCGTTTCTTTTTATTCTGGATCGGGTTGCAGTATCTCACTGGCATTTTAGTTTTAGACCTACAATCTCAACATTATATTTAAATTTTACATAATTAAAGTTGATCATCTTAAAAAAACAGCTAATATGCAACTCACCATAATCAAATAAACAAAGCAAAGCCAGAATTAAATATAGAATGTTGAAAAAGCCAGTCCGTGTGCATTGAAATTATTCAGGAGTGTTACAGAAATAGTTCGTTGTCGGAATCAGAATTGAAACCAAAAAAGTTCAGCTGAAATGGTTACACATTCCGATTATTGATTTGCATATCGGTTTCATTTTCGAAAAAGAATTTGTGTCGATTTTAGGTGTTAAAGAAACCGATTTATCGGTTAAATTGTCAGAAATAAACCGAGCAGTAATTTGGTGACAGAATTGTGTGCAAACGGAAACTTAATAAAAATGTAAGTCATGAACAATGGTTTTACAAAATATTTATAAATATTTATAAAATAAATTTTTAACTAGGGGAAAACATAAAAATACTACGCAAATAGCCATATTTATCGAGAGAATAATCGGGGAAAATCAATTGTGACGTCCTTATGGCAAGAGTTAACATCGTCCTTAAATGCTACTGGTCCACCAAACAAAGAGTTAAGAGATTGGAAAAAGGTAGGCGCAATCTCGAATTATCTTAAAAATTTCTGTTTTGGGGCCATTTCTGATTTTTTTTAGGCATGGACCGAGTGGAAAAGCGGTGTAAAAAGAATTCAGCACACAACAAAGCTGAAGGACGGGCAACTGATGGTGGACCCTGTACAAAGCATACATGCCGAGTTGTGGAGTGGACCAAGCGGTGGACGGTGTGGTGAGAATATCGTTTGGCCTCACAGATGATGCCTCTGACGAAACAGACGATATGCCGTCTACTTCAAGAAGAAGAAGAAGCGAAATTCCACACACGCATACAAATAAAAGGCCAAGGACGGAAAATATTTCGTGGAAAAAGAGAAATGCACAAAAAAATTGATGACCTATTTAAAGCAGCAGTTTGAGGAAAATATATCGGGCGATAAAAAATGGTAATGAATCGATGGCTAGTGCTCTGATACAAGAGATTTAAAAAAGTCCTGCGATTTGTTAACTGCCATGCAAGAAAAAAATTAAATTAAAAAAAAGCTAGAACTTGAACTTTTAAAGTTCGAGCGTCAAAAACAAAAGTGAAGACTGTCCTGTACAAATAGTTTAATAAAGTGTTTTTATGTGTTTTAGTGAAGTTTTATTTTGGTTTTAAGTATTTACGAGATTGAAAACTCTTTTTTGTTTTTTATTTACAATGAATAAAATGTGATATTTTATGTTTTAGAAAATAATTTATTGACTTTCTTAATTTACATCAGGCTGTTAGCTATTTGATTCCTTATTCTTTGGCCTTCACTTCGCAACGTGGGGGTAGGTGGTAACTCTGTACAGTCCTCAGTGTGTGTTGTATTTACCATTTTAACGACTTTTTCTGGCCGGTAGTGCAAAGTTCCCGTAAAACACCGAAGCGACTTTTTAATACTCCTATTGTCTTCTCTACAATATTTCTTGCAGAAGAGTGTGCCACATTGAATTTGTAATCACGAGGGTTAAACTGTGGGTCTCTGTATGGTGTTAGTAGGGAAGGTTCAATTCCATGATTTTATGTTTTTAACTTACAAGCATAGCATTCATACTGAAATCTCCTTTGCGGTTAAAAAATAAATGCTCGTCAACTGGCGGTTTCATCAATCTTATATGAGTTCCGCCGATGCAACCAGTAATGCCGAGAATACTATATTTGGTCACCTGCTCTTCGCTTTTCATTCGTAATTTTATCCAGCGCGGGCAAATCAAACGTTCAAAAGCCTTTAGCACTTCTGTCATAACCACCGCAACTGTAGGTCGCAGCAAATTGGAGTACAGGTGGGATAGACTTGTCCCCAATGATACCCAGCAAAGTATTCTTTGTTCGGGCGATATTGGCCGATGAATCGAAATACAAACAAATTTTGTATCACCCAATTTAGCAGTAGAATGAAAGTCGACTCTGGCAGCTCCATCGGTTTGCTCTTATTCCTTAAAATTTTGTGTTTTATTTTCTGGCTAGTTTCTCCAAAACCCTCTATCATCAAAAAAGCTATCACTGCCGAGGTCATTTAATTCTAACAAATAATCACAAATGCGTCAGTAAAAAAATTAAACTCCATTGATGGGTTTTAGGAACAATTGTGATTACAGCTGATTCGAATATCGGTTTGCTTATCTTCGAAAAATGCAAAAACAAGTCGGCTTCATAACACCAATTCCGATAAACAAGCAATTCTGTGTCGGTTTCCACCGCCCAGATTACTTAAAGTTTCCGAACTCTCTTTGCTTTCATTTTAACCTCTAAGAACAAGTACTCTTAACAACATGCGTGGAGTAGAGTTAGCAGGTTTTCTCTACTTCCATTTATGTATTTATCCGATAATTTGGACCGAAAAAATTGCTTTTTTAATTCAATTCTAAAAGGCAACAGCATACAAATTAAAAACAGTTTTATCTACAAGGTTTATCTTAAAAATTGATTATTCCCAATATCATAGAACATTCCTCCCACTCCTAAAAAGAATGACGATATCGTCAAAAAACAAAAAAAAAAAAGTTTGCTGGAGACTTTAGCTGCTTTCCATTTTACCTTGAGATCTAATTTGCTTCTTGCATAAATCTTGGAACTCGCAAAATCTCAAAAGGTTCCGGATTTTATAGATTAATCTTTAAAATTCATAATTAAAAGAAACGTTTTACTGAAAATTTATGAGATTTGTTTATTAATGATACTGGAGAATGGCAAACATTACGAGACCTGCGGTAACATTGTAATACTTTACGAAATTGAAATAGCTCCACTATATTGGCGTGGGACGACATCAGGATCTTCGAAGAGCGAGAGCAATGCCAGGTGGAGAAAAACATAAGCACATACCTCCACTTAGTGCTTCTTACTAGCAGAACGTTCATTAATCAAGTGGTCATGTTATAGTTCTTCTGGGTCCCGTATTCCTAAAGTAGTTTTCCTAGCCCTCTAGTACTGCGCCAACATCAACCAAGTAATCTATTGTTGTATTATGCAATTCTTTATTATTCATTATTATCCAACAACTATTAAGTGCGCCAATTCAGACGCTATTTTCATCTAAAGGAAAAGTTCGTAGCTTTACTTTGCTTTGCTTTCACTTCCTTTCCCGTAAAGTTGCTTAACGTAGCATTCAACGTAGATGGACTACGGACTCTGGACTTTTAAAAATGTTTGAAAATCCTCATTATAATGTCGACTGTAAGGACTGAATATAGGAGACGATTAACTGACCAGGTGGAGAATTGCAGAAAAAGAAGATAAATTCGAAATGTCAGCTGTTTAACCTGTTATTTTGCACTAAAACTACTGTTATAGTTTCTGAGAAATTTTTACAAATTCCCGTGCGCAGTTTATTCAACATATTTCGGATTCATCAAAATCATATAGCTGCGGTACAAGTTAATTATTCAGATATGTGAATTGTAAATTCTTCTCCTTTACCGGCGTAGATACAGCTTACGAGAATATAGCCGAGTTAACTACAGCGTGCCATTCACTCTTTCCTTTCGCTGTTTGGCGCCACTAGCAAATACAAACATTTTGGAAATCGATTAGAAATGAGCTTTTTTGTTTAAAAACGGAGTGCTTTGAAACTTCCTTATCCAAATTGAAGGAGGCTTAGTATAAAATGTAGGTCCTTCTATTTGTTGGAAAAACATCAAGGCGCATTTCACAAATCGAAGAAGGAGCTCCGCCGAATATGCCCTCGTAATTAATGATCTGGAAATCCAAAGACTTTTTTCGATATATTTTGCCGTTTTCAATAATCGTTGGAAAATTTCTTCTAGACCAACGGCTGCTCGCAGCAGCACCTCTAGTGAGCAGGCGCTGAATTAAGACTACAGCGAGCCCTTAAGGCGAATAAGTCGGATTGGCTCCAGCGAAGTTTCCTCTCTTTAGCCGTAACCCAAGGTCCCACAAGGGTTAGTTAGGACCACGCCTTGCACAATGGTTGCTCACGTTTCCAGGGTGCGCGACGTGGACGCAAAAGTAGGAATTGAGTTTAGTAATGCGACTGTAACTGCATTCCCAGAAATTTGACTACATCTCAGTACACAATTGGTATCATACATTTTACAACTAAGGATATAGTGAAAGAAGCTCAAAGAAAACTTATATTTATATACATCTGTATGTAGGCGAACGTTTCCAGCAAGATTCTAAGATTTTTAAAAAAGGTCATCAGGGATCTTGGAATGAAAATATGTTATACGCTTGCTCTTAGCCCGTTAGAAAAAAAAACTGATTGAAAAAATTTATAAAAATGGGCAAAAAAGAGTCATTAAATTAAATGCGTATTCCAGTTTTATATATATGAAGTAATGTTTTCACATTAAACTTTACTAACAGCTCTTATTTATGTCATTTTTTCTTTCAGTGGCCGGTCTGTTCTTTCAATCATGTCTGCTGCTTGCTTTGTCCACCTGGAAGCCATCAAGCGATGATATGGCGCTTTTCTACGTCTTAGCAGCGTCTTGGGGCGCCTGTAATGGCATGTGGGAAACACTCTTAATGGCCTTAATTACATTGAATCACGCCAACCATGTCACGGATGTGGCCGGCCCATTACAGGGACTGCGTTTTCTTGGCTTAGGTATCACTTTCGCGGCGCATGGGCTAATGTGTGAAACGCCGAAAATTATTACAATGATGATAATGTTGGTAATCGGCTTAACGCCATATACGTTGCTGGAGACGAGGCTGGAAGCTCAGCGCAAATCACAGCTGATCAATTTATGACGTAGTGTCTTCAGTTAGTCAAAAAAGCATGGTGCCATGGCGCGAACACACACTATGTAAATAGATCCAAGATGCCCGAGTGGAATAAGAAGGGAAGCATGAAGAATGGAGTGCAGCAGTATTTGTAAAACAGTATTCAATTCAAGTAAAGAAAACAAACAGATTTTTACAAATAGTGTGCGCTATTAAAATCATTGGCCTGCAAGGCTTGTTAAATCAAACTTAGTTTAATAGCAAAAATTTATACCTACACGTACATACTATCATACGAGTATGTTATGTTATTGTATTTATTTGGCAATATGTAATGCAAGATCTCGCTGTAGTTCGTAAGGCAAAAACAACAATTAGTAGTTGTACTCGTGGATCAAGTAAACATGACTGTGTCGCTTGACTCAATGAATAATCATACAATTACTTAATTTCTTATTCATCAATCCCCTACTATATGCAGATTTAAATAACATCCGTTAAAGTAAATAAATATACATATAAAAAACAAAAACACATACAAAAAGTAAAAATTAAACATTTACACTTTTATATTGAATAATTGAAAAGACGCTGATAAAACTATTCATTTCAGTTACAATTACGGTACAATTTTTTTCCAAAGGAATCACACTTCTAAGGAATACAACAAATTTAACTAGTTGTATTAAAAAAAGGGTCATACATAGTGTATATAGTGAAGCACTCAAATTTTTGGCCAATCAAAGTTAAAAAATCTTCGTTTTGTTTTGCAATTTATTTTATGAGTTTAACATAAATGTAATTGTATGTAAAATGTATTGCTGCCTATGAGACTCGTGTAAGTTTTCCGATATACAATCAGTCCTTTTTTACGCGATTATTGGTTCTGCCACTAATCGCGTAAAAAAAATCGCGTAAAAATGGTTAGTTTTCCAATATTAACTGACGAATTGGTTCCGAATATAAAAAGTATCGCGTATAACAAAATATACGGGCAAAAAAATATTTAAAACCAATACAACAAGTTTCAAATTTCAGACTTATGATTTATTCATTCATAACAAAATAAAAAATATTTGTTTTGTATTTTTTATTTTGTTATGAATTAATAACCATATATAAAAGAGAAGAAAACAGAAAATAGGTAGATTTATTGAAAAAACCGTTGAATGCTGTTTAATCACTGTCATTATCCGTAGTGGAAATTATTCTTAGCCGCTTATTTTGATGACCTGCACTGATATCACTAGAATTTGTATCAGAATCAATAGTAAGAACTATGGATTGATGCTCTGATTGACTAAGCATCTCCGACTGAGTTTGCTCCATAAATTCAGTTAATTTTGTTTGAATGCTTCTTTTTGAACCCAATAAATTCCGATGTAATTCTTTATATCTTAACATGCAGAGACTCAATTCTTTTTGAAAAATTCGTACACGCTCGCCATCAGTATCATTCTGCTGCAAGTTTAAGACCTTGCCTAATCGTCTCTGCTTTAATTGGATGCTCGTCTATCGAGGTGTCGCTGCCATTTCCCGATTCGTTTACTTCCGTAGCTATTTCAATTAAATCGTCATCATCGAGCTCTCGGTCTAGAAGAATCTCGTCAATATCTTCTCTCGTTATATCTGCAAGAATTTCTCTTCCCGCGGAGCTTGCTAAATCAATGATATCTGAATAATTAGTTGAATTGCTTGTCACGGACATACCACTTTTAACACATTTTGAGAGATTTCCAGCATGCGTTTAACGTATGTTGCCTTATTTCAGAAATTACTTTTGACGCGTACAAGATGCAATTCTTGATAGAAAAATTTTTCCAAGCATCGGTGAAGTCCAATTCAGGATTTTCGTCCAGTTTTTCCATAATGCACTGAAAAGTTTTTTTCCAAATAACTTTTTACTTCTGGTACAAAGCATTTAGCAAACCATTCTTGGAATATATTTCCAGTTACCCAGGCTTTTTTATTGGCCATCCAGTGAACAAATATGTAGAGCTTTTTGTTTTATTGTTGTAGTATCAACTGGGATTCGTTTCTGGCTGAGATCCTCAATTCAAACTGCTAATAGGTTTTCCATTTCTTCAATAAAAACATTTCTTGAGTATGAAGTTTTCTTCGCATTTAGATATTTGCCGGAAACTACAGATTTTCTAATTGCATTTTCATTTTTTTTTATTGGCCGCACTGAAGATTTACTGAGTCCAAGTCTCTTTCCCACATTTGTTGGGCCAGCTCCCTGCTCTAGAAAGTCCAAAACTTTTATTTTTGTTTCTAAAGAAATGCCTTTGCGTTTTTTATTTTTTTCTGATTTAGCTTCCATTGTAAAGCTAACAAAAATTGAAATTCCTTATTAAAAATTTTTAATATTTTTATTACAAAATTATAGATATATTTTAAAGTCTTACCAAAACAACTGCACCGGCCGCTAACTAAATACATTATAACTAGATTTGCAATAATTGATACACATAGAGTAACATTTTTTTGTTGGGACTTCCCCTTATTACATTCGAAAATCATTACGCGTAAAAATATGTAAACAGGCAAAAAACGGAAAAAAAGCAATCGCGTTAAGTGAGAAATTCGCGTAAAAAAAAGGACTGAGTGTACATAGATTTTTGTAAAAAAACTTGAAATTGCAATTAATTATTTAATACAATATATAAGTATGTATACTTCACCTATATACGATTATCGCTTATATACTATATCCAAACGGATAAATTGTGAAATGAGTTGACGATATTGATAAAATTATTTAAAAGTTGACAAACACACTGGCAGCTGGTATTTTGACAAGTGCTTTCTTTTATTGAATGTAGGTACGGAAGGAAGGTGCGCCAGAAAGCTGGTCAAGACATAGACAGTCTCTTTTCCTTCTACTGCACTGCGACTCTCATCTTTACACCAGATCTACTTTCTATGTTGTCGGTTTTGTCGCAGTAAGTAGGGAACCTAAGTAGTATTTCTTAGGTCTTCAGTACCGAGTTGTAAACGAGTTCTCAGGAATGTATGTAAAGTAAAAACAAACAATAATACACAACTATTTCGCTTGTACAGAACTCTAAACTGATTTCTTTGGTGAAAGTGACAAGATGCAGTGCTATAAGGGACGTATCTATAGTTTTTACCCCCTCTCCCCTTTTCTGTGACAACCCATAGCATTTACTAAGTATTTAAGAAAGTATTTTTTTCTTTTACTCACACTAATTTTATTTTATTCATATATCACTTCGTAGATTATGGGAACAAAAGCATTAATCGTTTTCTTGGATGTTATTATTTTACCCTCCTCGGCGACATGGGCGTCTACCCACTTCGTACTTTCCTTGACGGCACTGGCATGGAACGTGCACTTTCGTTTGCAGTGAAACATTTTTAAACAAAGAAAACATCCTTCGGTCACATGCATGCATAATCCTTAATATTTGCGTAGTAAAAGAGTGACGAGTGATTTGAATTTGTCTCGAATAACTTAGGAATAATCTATGAATTATTAGATGTTGTTTGTGTAGAAAATTTTTTTGGATCCAAACGTGTATTGATTTTCGCAAACACAAGGCATCTTTCAAAATGGTGTAACTGTTCCATTTGAAATACCCACCACATCAGCTACCCTCTAGTTGTAAATCGACACTTTTCGTAAATCACCAAACACAAACGTAATTATAACTCATAATTTGTCAGATGAATATAACTTGAAATTTGGCACAGTGCCACCAATTTAAGCACAAAAGATTTATCCATATCGAAGTATTCGCGCAAACTAAGTTTTCGTCCCCTTACGAAATGTACACAGTGGGTTTATATCCCATTTCAACCAAATTTTCTTATTATTTTGCTACAATTTTGAATTTTTTTTCTCCCCTATTCGTGACGTGTTCAGATAGACTTGCAAAGCATGATTATTAGGTCGAACAGCTAGGTGTTGTTATACTGAGTACCCTGAAATATGCTAGCACTGCTTTTTTCGTCCATGTCAAATTACATTTGCCAATTGATAAAATAAAAAGAAAAATATTCACATCGAAATGAAAGACGGTGCACAAAAAAATTGAAAAGTTTTATTGATTTGTTTATTAAATCATAAATATTTGAACCTAATTATGGAAAATATGCCTGGACAACAAAAAAAGCTGAATGAAAACGTTGTCGTACAAATTAAAGGGCTATTTTTTAGTCTCGAAAACTTCTTAAAATACGGGCTTTTGCACTTTTTTCTTCATCTTCAATGAATTCCAGGTCTAAAAAATGCCTACCCATTTTGGTTTTTTATTTTTTCTCAAACTTACAACACCTGTTACCTCCTATTTCGCTAGTAACAAAATTTACAGGGTAACAGTGAGCTCAGAATACGAAATGGTAACAAAATTTTCTGAATATTGACTAGGTAAATTTTGTTACCACGACAGAATAGGCCTGTATATGAATTTTAACGTAACAGCAACATATTGAGATTAAAGTAAATAAAATGTAACCTAAAAAAAAAACACAATATAACCAATAAAAAATATATGTAAATATATATAAAAAATTCAAATGACAACTGCAAATTATTCAGTAGAGCTATTTAAAATTTTAAGTTTCCATATAATTCATATTTCGAGTTAGGCGGTTATAATTTAGTACCACTAAATTTTTGTATAATTAAGAAGAAATAAACTTTGGAACTCTTGTAAACTTCAGGCATTAAATCTATCCAATATAATTAGATTGATAAAAAAGTCATATAAAAATAACTGTTAAAATACTTCAAACTTTCTCCTAAAGTCCTAATCGTGATCACTCATTAAACATTAAATAGTAGAATGAACTCACTTTATAAACAATTAAAAGCCTAAATTAATGTGAATAATATGAAAATGTACATACATATATATACATACATAAAGTGTTTTTCTGTTATTATATCGTTATCGTTATGGCATGTGATTGTATTTTTTGCATGACTAAGCAAATTTTTTCGAATGAAAGTTTTTCCCGAAAAAAATCTCCGTTAATTTTTTTTATTTCAATTTATTCATCTTCCTTTTCAGAAACTAAAAATAATTTTGAAAATCTTTAAACTAATACTTAAACACCACAATTTAACCATTGCCACTGCATCGATTAACAGTGGAAGCAACAAGAAATTGAATTATAAACAAAATGAATGTATTTAAAAATAAATCATTAAGGATGCCAAAAACTCAAAATATAACAATTTAGCAAGAGATATTCTAAAAGTTGACATTTAGTAAATTAACATAATTATCTTGAAGGATGCCAACGAAAAATTTCTCCCATTTAGTCCTATTGAATGCAGCAGAGCTAGAAAGCTTAGATGGTTTGATAATCTCAATGAGTAATTTTTGCGCAGGTTTTCTGCCTCCTCTATTACGATACAAATCCCGAGATCGTTGTGTATAGCGGAGTTTTTTACATGCCAAAGGGCCCTGCATATCGCTTTTAAAGTTTTGGACTGAATGAAAGTTTGGTGGGCATTTTAAAAAATTTATTACCTACGCCGGCAGGGATTTTTTCTTAAAATTTTACTTGCCTTTCACTTAAACAATTACTTGATATTAATGGATCAGAATAATCCATCGCTCTAAAAAAAAAACCTCGGTCATATTGTTTAAGCGGCAATTTTTTCGGGCATGTGATTTCCTATCGTTTTTACACTATTTAATTCTTGCTAATGGAGCATTTTCTCATAAACATGCTACCGGAACCAAAGACGAGTTTATTATTTGCCACTTAGGAGCCAGAGTTAAGTATTAACACATTATAAAAATGTTTCCTTAGAAAATGCCTTGAATTACGAAACATCAATAGAATGCTCGCATGAAATAGTGATCAAAACTACATACAAATTTTATCAAATATTTTGATTAAATATTCAAATTGAAAATAAAACTGAGAATTCGCGAATACTCTTCTATCCATGTTTCCATCTTTACTATTCCCACTTCCGTTTTGGCTGCCTATGCTTACATGTAACCGCTTTTTTGGCCACATCAACTTTATTTTATTAGTTTGGGTAATAAGCCACCTTTCAACATCAGGTCTATAGGATAAGTTTAAAACAAATTCAAAATATTTAATCCTGACATGCAATGTACTGACACCATATTTCAGAGTCGCAGGCCTTGGCTTAAAACATTCGGAATCGAAATCAGAGGTTTCGACAAGATTTTTGAGCAGCACTGAGTTGATGATGATCAATAAGTGTGACCTGTGGCTTATAAGTGATGGCAATTGTTTTGCCTTCTTTTGTATATATGTATGAAATTCTTTGGACCAGCGACTTGCATATCGAAATATTCTTTTTCTCTTTCTCTTAATATGTATTTTCTCATGGCTTTCCTTTGCATATTCAATTTTAAGTGGCCTGCAGAACATTACAGATTGTGGAGCATTGTTAGTCCAAATAATTTGTTGATTTGCATCTAATAATTTTAAAGGTATCAAAGAGCTGACAAAAATGGATAGATCAGGTTCAAATCAGATCAGATATAACTGGTTCTTCTAATCGAAACTTCTGCTTATATAAGCTTTGGCCAATAGATCCATCGAAACCGTAGCTTGCTATTAACGTGAAACAATTTTCATTTTAGACATTACGTCTTTTTGTAGGATCAATATTATTTCGGCTGTTTGGTGTAAAAGCTTTCGCATTGGAACCTCTGCAGGGGTAAGGGGAATAATCATTTGAGATAAGTTCTGCGTTGAAAAGTCTATGTTCCATGTATGATCACTTGCTAATTTGTGCTTTAAGCGCACTAGAGCATGTGAGTAATTTAGTTTTGGGCTAAACATTTTGATGGAAGATCCTCATCCAAGGTTATAATAATCGCCTCCGAAAGCCATGAAAGCCATCTTGAGTGATTAACTTTAAATCGGTTACATTTATGCAAATATTTCTTGATGTGTGTTATAAAACTCCTTACCTTTGTCATTAATTTGAAGAACTTGGGAGCTGCTGACTTCATTTATATTTCACTGTTTCTACAATCCATTTTGTTACGACCGAGTCGTCACGTCCCTTGTGGTCCGAAACCTTCAGCGATGTTAAACGCCGCAACTCATGTTTGGCTGCAACATGCCTTTTTTCAAAAAGGTGCAAAATCGGGCAGAGGATGTTAATAGAATCTGATTTTATATACACTGTGACGAAAAACATGCCGCATGAGTGCGCGGCATAAAAGTTACACTCCACGGAACACTAAAAACAATTGACGATACACAACAAAACACACGGAACATATAGAAACTAACACAGAGCGCTGATCTCACAAACCTCTACGATTATTTGCCATATTTCCAAACACTTTACACTGGATTTCACTTTAAAGAAGAAGCCACAACAAAAGAGCAACGGTTGTATTTCGATAGGTCAAGCCATCGATCATTTTCATAGAAGAGCAAATGAGTTAAAAAGGAAAAATGCTCACACAACTATATTTTCGAAAGTGATCGACCTAGCTTCAGCACTGAGAGGTTTGCTTCATCGTCAAATCTGTTCACGAAATATCTTTCTCTGTCCAACTTAGTCTCGACGTTGCCAAGTC